GATATATGTACATATATGCATATATATATATATATATATATATAATATATAGATGTATATATATGCATATATATATTTGTCTTTTCTTTTTTTTTAATTTTACTCTTTTCTGCTATGCTGCTGTTCGTTTGAACGCGACTCTAGGGTTTAGGGTTTAGGGTTTTAAGCCCTAGAGTCTATGGCTGAGGGTTTAGGGTTTTGTGTTTAGGGTTAAAAGTATAGGACACAGGGTTTAAGGCTGAGGGTTTAGGGTTTAGGATTTAGGGTTTAGAGTGTAGGGCTTAAGGCTTAGTGCTGAGTGTTTAGGGTTTAGGGTTTAGGGTTTAGGGTTTATTCACTCAAGGTTGTATTTAGCATATATATAAATATAAGAGTAGAAATAAAACCGTAGAAATTTCTGTTTTTTATTTTTTAAATTTATTATACTTAAATAAAGATGTTGTCTCTGGGGTGTATATGCAGCTTCGGTGTAGCAGAGAAGAGAGAATGAAATTGAGCTTAAATAAATCTTTTTAAAGGTTTTTTTGAGATAAAATAATTAATTTTATTGTTTATTATTAATAAATAATATAAAATTATAATATATATTTCTTTTTTAAACAAATTCAGCTCTCTTTTATACAATAAGTATGCTTGGGGCTGCTGTCCTGATGTACGGATTAGGGTTTAGGGTTTAGGGTTTAGGGTTTAGGGTTTGCACGGGTTTTCTATTTACTAATGCTTTGGGTTTTTGAGTTATTCCTCACAAAAATTAAAGCTTATATACCACGGCTTCCATTGTTTAGGGTTTAGGGTTTAGGGTTTAGGGTTTAGGGTTTAGGGTTTAGGGTGACGGCCGTCTCGCCGAGGGTTTGCTGCCGCTTTCTTTCAAATCCTCAGGGGAGAGAAACCCTCAAATAAATCAAAGACAAAATGAACAGGCCAGCAGCTCCGGTAAACCCTAAACCCTAAACCCTAAACCCTAAACCCTAGACGCTCAGTGTTCATTGTTCTGTGTCTTTCAACAACAGCAAATCCTTTGGGGCTTTCGAAACCCTAAACCCTAAACCCTAGATGATGTCGATGCCTTCATGTGTAAACCCTAGCCATCCGAGGTTCTAGGGTTTAGGGCTTAGGGTTTAGGGTATTTATAGGGCCCTCCAGGAGGTTTCAATCGCCCGTTTCGTTATCCCTAAACCCTAAACCCTAAACCCTAATCTTGACTCCGTTTCTCAACGAAGCTCTTCGGGTTTACGCTTTAGGGTTTAGGGCTTGGAGCTTAGGGTTTAGGGCTTGGGGTTTAAGGCCTAGGGTTTAGGGTTTAGGGCATAGGGTTTAGGGTTTAGGGTTTAGGGTTTAGGGTTTAGGGTTTAGGGTTTAGGGTTTAGGGTTTATTTAGGGTTTAGGGTTTAGGGTTTAGGGTTTAGGGTTTAGGGTTTAGGGTTTAGGGTTTAGGTTTTAGGGTTTAGGGTTTAGGGTTTAGGGTTTAGGGTTTAGGGTTGAGGGTTTAGGGTTTAGGGTTTAGGGTTTAGGGTTTAGGGTTTAGGGTTTAGGGTTTCGTTTGCCGTTTGGGGTTTTTAGGGTTTAGGGTTTAGGGTTTAGGGTTTAGGGTTTAGGGTTTAGGGTTTAGGGTTTAGGTTTTAGGGTTTAGGGTTTAGGGTTTAGGGTTTAGGGTTTAGGGTTTGAGGGAGAAGGGCTCCTTAGCCACCGTCTCTGAAGATGCAAGAGAAGGTCTAGGGTTTAGAGTTTAGCTTCAGAATTGGAATAAGCCGTTGGCGGCTTTGATGGATACAATTTTAAATTGCAACATCAAATTTAAACATGCAGCAGAGGTAATAAACCCTAAACCCTAATTCCTAAACCCTAAACCCTAAAGATTAGCCCCTAAGCTGGCTTTGTTGTATTGAGAACCCTCATTAATAAACCACAGTGAAAGCAAGAAACTGCTGCTGCTTCAGCAGAAGCAGCAGCAGCAGCAGAAGCAGCAGCGGAAGCAGCAGCAAGCAGAAGCAGCAGCAAGCAGAAGCAGCAGCAAGCAGAAGCAGCAGCAAGCAGAAGCAGCAGCAGCAGCAACCGCAGCAGTAGAAGCAGCAGCCGCAACAGCAGCAGCAGCAGCAGCAGCAGCAGCAGCAACAGCAACAGCAAAAGCAAGAGCAGCAGCAGCAGCAGCAGCACTACAAGAAAGTCATATATATGAAACTATTTAAGCCGATAATAAAGAGTTAATTAGATAATAATAATAATTAATTAATTAATTAATTAATTAATTAATTAATTAATTAATTTATTTAGTTTGTTTATTTGTTTATTACATGTTTAGGTAGGACGTCGCTCTGTAATGTACTGCAGAGGCGCAGACTTATTATTATTTTTAACAGATAATAAAGAGTTAATTAATCGTAAGCATGCGGATGCCCTCGACAATCCGATTGAGACGAAGGCAGACGCTGAGGCCCTCTGTGCTAAGCTCATTCAATATGGATTTCTATATAAAGCAGAGTATAGACCCGTAAGTTTATTATTATTATTATCATTATTATTATTTATTATTATTATTATTCTTGTTTATCTATTTATTATTCTTCTTTACGGGTTTACGTCGGCTTGTGTTAGGGCTTATGAGGGTTTATATGGGTTTATGAGGGTTTGTCAGGGTTTAGTAGGGTTTGTTAGGGGTTATTAGGGTTTACAAGGGGTTATTAGGGTTTATTAGGGCTTATAAGGGTTTATTACGGTTTGTTATGATATGTTAGGGTGTATAGTGTTCACAGGGCTTGCAGGGGTATGAAGGGCTTACCAAGGGTTTAGGGTTTAGGGTTTAGGGTTTAGGGTTTAGGGTTTAGGGTTTGCTTTCTTTCCGCTGCAGCTCGATGGGGCCATCGAAGTCGGAGAGAACGGCCGCTGTAAGCCTTCGGGTTGGGGTTTAGGGTTTAGGGTTTAGGGTTTAGAGTTTTTTATGGTGTAGGGCTTGCTAGGGTTTAAATGGTTTAGGGTTTAGGGTTTAGGGTATGGAATTGTTTAGGGTTTCAAGGGTTTAGGGTTTTAGGGTTTTAGGGTTTAGGGTTCAGGGTTTAGGAAATTTAGGTTTTAAGCTGCCTAGGGTTTAGGGTTTAGTGTTTATTCTTTAGGGTTTAGCATTTCATCAAGGGTTTATTGTTCCAACCTTTTAAGGGTTTAGGGTTTAGGGTTTAGGGTTTAGGGTTTAGGGTTTAGGGTTTAGGGTTTGTGTGCAGTTCGTCGTCCCAAGTGGCCGAAGCGTTTAGAGATGAGTGCTAAACAAAACTTCGAAGAAAATCAATTTTATTGTTGTGTTTATGAAGGCAGCAAACGCTGGCAGCACTTTATGCTTTTTTGCGTTGTTGCAGCAGTCTTGGTGAGGGTTTATAAGGGTTTATGAGGGTTTATAAGGGTTTATGAGGGTTTATAAGGGTTTATTAGGGTTTATAAGGGTTTATTAGGGTTCAGAAGGGGTTAGTATGGTTTATGAGGGTTTATAAGGGTTTATAAGGGTTTATAAGGGTGTATTAGGGTTTATAAGGGTTTAGGGGTTTTTAGGGTTTAGGGTTTATTCTATTAGGGTTTAGGGTTTAGGAGTGTTTAGGGTTTATGAGGGTTTAGGTTTAGGGTTTGCCTCCCTTCCTTCTGTATTTGTCGCAAAACCCTAAACCCTCCGCTAAACCCTAAACCCTAAACCCTCGTGCGTGTTGTGTTGCAGTGTATCTGCATGTTTCCAGCCTGGCCCTTGAAATTGAAGATAGGGGTTTGGTATATCGCAGTCATATTGCTGACTCTTCTGGTGAGTTAGGGTTTAGGGTTTAGGGTTTAGGGTTTAGGGTTTAGGGTTAGGGGTTTAGGGTCCAGGGTTTAGAATTTCGTGTTAAGGGTTTAGAATTTCGTGTTTAGGGTTTAGGGTTTAGGGTTTAGGGTTTAGGGTTTAGGGTGTGGGATCTTCAGCTACACTAAGCACAGCCGTAGAAAGACAACGACCTGCGCGTTTAAACTAAATAATCTCTCTTTTTATTATTTATTTATTTATATTTAGGCCGAGCAAGAGCTTTGTTTATATTTATATTTATTTATTTATATTTATATTTATTTATTTATTTATATTATTTATTTATTTATTTTAGCTTCCAGCTTCAATTTATCATCTTATGAAGACGCACAGCCCTAGAAAGACAGATTTTTTTTAAGTTAAATAATATATCGTTCTCTATAATTTATTTATTTATATTTATATTTATTTATTTATATTTATATTTATTTATTTATATTTATATTTATTTATTTATTTATTTTCAGCTACAATTTATCATCTAGGGGAGACGCACAGTGCTGCGGATGTAGCAGCGTTTGCTGGGCAATCGTTTGTAGATATTCTTGACTGGGGGCGGATGAGGCTTGAAGCTCGTCGGTTTAATTCTAATTAAATTAATTAAATTAATTAATTAATTAATTTATTTATTTATTTATTTGTTTATATTCTGCTTCTTTTGCTGTTTATTTTCATCTTCGTATTGTTTATTTTTATTATATAGATGTAAAGATATTTATTTTATTTGTTTTAATTTGTTTTA